ATTTGCCCCATAGCTTCCAGCATCGTCTCGCACCAGCAGCACCTCCTCTAACGGATAGACCTGCAGATGCATAGCGGAGTCACCAAGCACTGCATCACCTCAACAAATCCGTCCGTATAATTTTGCTTGATGAAAGGAGCACGGATTATATTGTCTTTAAGGTGATGCAAATTTGTCGACCCCGGTTCACGGTAGAGCAGATGAGGGTTGTACTTTGAGAATAGCTTTGTGCTCAGTCCAGTCCGAATCCTTCCCCCTCTTCCCTATCTCCTGTAATATGGCCTTCTTCGAAAAGCTTTTGAATGGGCGCAAAACGCTTTCTGAGCCTTCATCCTCAAGTAGACCCATTCGCTTCAGGTTTTGCTTCCGCACCAACACTCCCATAATCCCGTCAATACCGCTTGACAGATGTATCCGTATGTCGCTGAATTAAAGGATAAACTCGAGCAGGCTAGCAAAATACCCCATTTTATGGCTTTGCATAATGCCTCTTAACATGATGACAAGTAATTTGTTGTGCAAGTTGTTCGTAGATGATCGCTCATACGAGATAGCCGCCGCAGGAACGATGAGCTGTATACCCAAATGGAGCAACAGTGCGATTGTCAGGGAAAGCAAGTGCAGGTGCTAAGCCGGGGAGCCCTAATTTTCTTTGACATACCCAGAAGCGTATTTTCCAGGATCAGCTTCATGGCCCTCAGGTTTTGCATCACTTTCTTCATCATTGCCCGCATTTGCGTCACTGGCGTGTTCTTCTTGTGCATCCTGCCCTACGCCACCGCTGGCGGGTGTTGCTGCGGGATCTGCTGAAGCTTGTCCCAGACCTGGCGAGGCTGGCGGTGGCTCGGAATTATCCCCAGACGCGGTATCCACTTTCTGGAGAGCAGCTGCAGAACTGTCTCCATCGGTTATTTCAGCAACCCCTTCACTGGTATTCGGAGAAACGCCGGGGGGAGAGGAGCCCCCCCGCACCTCATCAGCGGCCATTTAGTCTGGACCCGTAAGAACGCTTGACGATGCTGGTTCGAGAGCGTGTTGGCCTTTCGCTGACCGGAAAGCACGTTTTGGCGAGTTAAATTGTAGTACAACCAGCTGATTGGCTTCAAAATATCTGAAATATTGGCCACCCATACGGCCTGTAGAGCTCATTCAGCAAGAGGAGCTCCTAAGTGACCTTGAGGACCTCCTGTCTCCCCCCATAAGGTTCCCTCAGTCCGTTTGCGCTGAAACCCCCTGCATGCAAATTCAGTGTGTAAGTGTTTAAATGACTAAAACATTTCGTTGAAATTTCTGCGCACGATTGGTTGGGCAGAATGAGTGAAAATGCTAGCACAGCGATCTCTGCAACAGCTGTTTCTCGGGTAGTTGCGAGCGTTAAGTGCGCGGGCCCCCCGCGTTGGCACGTTTTAAAGGCCCTAACCAGCTGAGTGAGAAATTCAATAGGATTGCAGACCTGAGAGATATGAGCAATTGAAACCTGATCAAGTGAACCAGACCCAGATCCCCACAACACAAAGCAATCCGTTGCTAGCCAGCTTCTACTCGAGCAGTCGCATGCAACGAATGAAGAGGCCCCAAACGCTATATATGTTCGAACCTTCCCGTGCCTAAAACACAAAGAGGTTAAAGGAGAAGGGTGCAAAAAGCGGCTCTTGGGATCTCAAACTGCATCTTCCCACCAACAATCCGTCCGACGCAAAGACAGCACCACTGGAGGCGAAGGCGCCTAAGCGCCACGGCCCAAAGTTTTGCCACTCGGGGATATCCTGCATCATTCTCATCTGCACATATTTGTACGGTGACCAACTCGAAAGCCTATTTGCAGCCCTGGGGTACCACTGCAGTTGTATCTAGGCCCGTATGAAGTTGTTCTCTATATCTCCACTTGCGTGCAGGGTGTGTAGCGTGATCTGCCTGCAGTTAGCATACGAGCATTCACTTGGCCTTGGTGGGTTGCCTGTAAGCAAATAAACACGCTAGACAAGCGTGTACAGAGGTAAAACATGCAGTAAAGCAAGCTTCGTTGAAGCTTCCTTGTGCTCACATGTGATGTTAGCTTGCGTCGCCAGTGGCGGCGAGATACACTGCAACTCCAGTTGGACCACCTCCTCCCCCTCAACCCCAGGCCCTGATCTGAACGCCCCGGATGTCTGGGGACACGGGAGTTAGGGTTATTAATTAGCTTTTGCCTAATAGCCAACATGCGTACACGCATGGCTTCATGCACCCATTGCACGACACTGCTACTTCGTGGGCATTTCTATAGACGAGAACAGAGCATCACTTACTCCTGTGATTCTGGTTCACTGTTACTGAGTATGCGTCGGGCAGCGTGGACGCGCAGTTTCTGACCCAATTTCTCACTAACCATGCCTTGAGTCATGATAAATTCCCTTTGAAATGACTTTATTACTGACAAGGATCCGACTCTGGTTCGCGCTGTTGGAGCAAATTTACGATGTTGCTCAACATCGATCACAACATTACCACCGCAAGCCAAACCTCGGCAGATGACGAAACGGAGCTCACCAACTGCATAATTGTGCTGTACTTGCTCGCGTCAAGCCATTACGCGGGGATATCTAAGTGCTGTCATTGCAACAGTGGCAGCGACCAGAAGCGTCGGCGTGAGCAGCAAAGCTTAGCTTTGGCCCGGTTAAAGCTTTTGTAAAATATTGCTTTATCACGGGTAAGCAACGGTCCATAGCTCTATAGCTAAGTGCTCATTGGCACTAATTATTTCCCTCCCGTTGTCGTCTGCCCCCACCACCTCTTCCTGCAGTTAGCCGCTGCTGCCGCCAACTTTCCCACGCTATAGTGCAGGGCCTGTCGCAGCCGTGTACGGTTGTTAGCAGCAGCACAGAAAGCATGAAGCGTCTGCAGACACTACCTGCTGCATTTCAGCTTCTTCGTTCGCCTGTTGTGTCCGGCGTGGCAGCCTCTCTGGCAGTTTTCCTTCCCACCCTCAGTGCACCCATCTGGTTCTGGATGGCACAACGCATGAGGTCGAGCGTAGTTTGGGGAGCGATGCGAGGCGCATATTAGATGGGCTCTCCGTGGTTGGTGATTGTATTCCTACTTGCGTAGGAGTGGGGTCCTGAGGGCCATGTAACAATTGTTTACAGCCTCTGCAGCGCAAGGACCAGTTTAGCGGCATCTCGTTAGAGCGGACTACCGCACAGCATCCATCAGCGGGAACAACCCGTAAAGGGTGTGCAGACTACAACTAGATCCGCTGGCATATTGGGGGCAGGGACTACAGCCGGGAGCACCCCAGTGTATCTAGTGGTTAAGAGCGCCATCCCCCTTATCGGAACTCTGTTTCTCATAATTTCCGGGATGTTTTGACATGTATGATTATTCTCCTTAATCGATAATAAGGTTCCGGGCCCCATGTGTCCGCTCTGCATTATGACCTCCACTGCTCGTGATATTCTCTCAAGCGAAACCCTTCCCAAT